GCTCTGCAGTCGAGCTCTGCCCCCTCCCCACTTCCCTTCTCTGCCCCCTCCCCACTTGCTTTCCATTTCTCCAGGGCTCTGGGCACAGGAGTTCTATACAGGCCCTTAGTGCTGCCTGCTCTGTAACTCCTTCCTCCTCTCTCGTGGTCCAGCCCACTTCTCTCTCCTTCAAATCTAAACTTAGTAGAGATCTGTGTAGTTGGGACTCATCCTTGATCCTACCTTTTTCTTACCCCAGAGAGATTGCGCCTTTCCCATAGCAACCCTGAGCTTGTTGATAATATACTTCACAGCCAGTTGCTGTTCAGCTAATCGCTGAGTAAAGAAAGCATAGGGCAGGCAGCGTGCATACTAACTTCTCTGTCACGGCAGCTACCACAGGGACAGGGATTATTGATGATCACTGAAAATGCTGTGACTAGTTTACCTATATGGCCATCTGTCTTGGTAGAGATGAGTTTTCAGTTTGTGTGCAGCCTTTGAAAACCTCCTTCTTCTCTGGTCATGTCCTTGCTGATGTGAGATGAAAAGGGAAGCCATTCCTGGCACCGTTCTGTTACTTAGGAACTTGCTCTGACTTAAAGGTTTGATGAGGCAGAGAGTCTGAGTATGACTCTGAGCTTCATGATCTTTGTCTTCTTCAGCCAAGAATCTTACGAGCCATTCCCGGGACAGTTCTAGAGACCCTTGGAGGACAAGGCTGAGATGTGTTTGGTTTAAATAAATCAGGGTTTTGACTTTTGTCTTTCATACTTCAAGTCCGTGTATGATCACATGACAGCTATGCATTGCTGGAATTGTAATTGATACTAATGCTAGGGGTTTGTTGAGCCCCTGGGTAAGTATCCAGGCCAGGCAAGGCCACTGTTGTGGTGAGGCTCTGCCATTCCCAGGGTGCTACCGAATTAATCTTTAAGTCACTCAGCATTTGGGGGTTTTCTTGTTCTGATACAGATAGAAAACTGACTTGTTCTTTCTAGATTTTTCCTTCAGTTAGTTGTCAAGGTTATTGAGAGAAAGGCAATTGAATCTGTTTTCATTTGGCTCAGTGCAGATTTTGTCATTGTTCCTTTGAGTATCTTTGCTTTCTATTTCTTCGCCCCAAAATAATGTAATCCGTTTAAGTAACTCCAGTTTCTTCTTAACCTGTGGCGTGTATTGCAGATAAAATAGTGGAAACATGATGGTAGGGGAAACCTCAGCCCTTTCAGAAACATTCCCTCTGTGTTCACTGTCGCTTCGGTGGCATGTGCAAAGCAGAGACCCTTTTTTCTGTGGAAAGGCCGTACTCTGGCCCATTATTGAAGCATACAGTTCTCAAGAACATGTTTGGATTGTTCTCCTGCACACATGTAGACACTCTTAGGAAACAGAAAGTTCCCAGAGTCTCTGAGATTGACCTTGCCGCTGATGTAGCAGTCTGACTGTTTGCTCGGACTTTTACTAGCCTTCCGAGTGGAGGCTGCTTATTAGTGGTCAGATTAAATATTGCCTCTTTTTCTTTTCCCAAAGTAAATGCTGACCAAGGCTGAGTAAGTCACCTAATTGTGGTATTGAGAAGATCATTCGGCTGCTGTCCGTTGCTCTCAAAGTGCCTTAATGGGGGTTTCCTGGCTGCTAGCCTCTTTTTTTTTCTCCACGTGGTTCTTTAAAATGATATTTTGCACTTTGAACTTCACCATGGAAGTCCTTCTCACACCTGAGCTTAAAATTCTGAGACTTGTCTGGTGTGCCAGTATATACCTATATTCCCAGCATTCAGGAGGCTGAGGCAAAAAGTTGAGAATTTGGGGCCACATAGTAAGAGCGTGTCTCATAAGATACCACCCTCTTCCCGTAAACAAATAAAGTCTGAGACTTCCATTTTTGTTGTTAATCTGCTGGCTGCTTAAAATTGAAATACGCTGAAAAGCCT